GTTTTCCTACGCACTTTACGCATCTTGATTCTTTTGCAAAAGTTGTGTGTATGTCCAAATAGCTGGCCGTTTTTGCATTGCGGAACTAGTTTTGACTTTTTTATGGTTTCTGTTCTAACTCTTAGATTAAGTATTGTTTTGATTTCGTAGATATATCCTAATATTTTCAATATTTCCGGATGCATAGCGACAATGGTTTTTTATTAAGTTTACGAGTGTTATCCTTGGTTAATTCTATTTCCTTTTTTATTATTTTGACAGCTTTTTTACATTTTAATCCTTGACTTTGCAAGTCTTCAACAATATCTTCTGGTTTAGATGTAGATGGTAGACATCTAACCATGGACGGACGCCAATTGAGCACTTTATTACTCTCAGGTAAAATTGATACCGTAGCAGGACACGCCAATTGAGCACCAAGGACCAAACAGAGACCGGCCAATTGAGCACTTTATGACTAGCCAATTGCGCACTTTATAACTAGTTTGTTCATTAACGAATTATCAGGTACCTACTGAATTAATGCAAATAGTTATTTTTCTCAGTTAAATAAAAATCAGAATATGGTAGTTGGCATTTATTTATTTAAAAAAATCATGGGGTCAAAACAATTTTTAAGAAGTATTTTTTCGCAGATCTGTGTAATAATAATAATTATTTTACAGTAAATAGTATTATAGTTTGTATCTATGAGCAACTAACTTTACAAAATCATATTCTGACAATAGCTTATTATCTAGCTCCAAAATCTTCTGATTTAAAAACTTTTCCGCATCTCTGACTTTTTTCGTTTTTACAACAATAGGGTTACCAATACTTTGAATTTAAATATAAACTAAGCATTGAAATTCAATAAGAGTTTTAACAAAAACGTGAATATTGGGGTGCGTATGGTAAAAACTTTTTGAAAAATGAGAGTGAAAGGATTCACAGGGGTTGGTTGTTAAAAATTTATTTTTTCTTGTTTTGGAAGCCCATACCGAAGGAGGAAATACAGACGTTTCCGAATTAACTAAATAATCTGCTAATCTTGAAAAGGCATTAGAATCAGGAATGGCCGACATAAAATTATTAATGAAACAATCGCTTACACTTTCGGGAGTGAGAAAAGGTAAACCAAATAAATGTTGTATCCATTTTCCTGACTCAGTTTGACTTTTATAAAGGTTTACTAAACCCAAGTTTTAAACTTTTCTATACCAGCTTTGTGCTAAATGGAATCGACAACCAAACATTTTTGCATTTGGCCAAACAGATTGCGCAGAATTATGAATGGCTTTTTCGAAATCTATAACTATCTGTTGAGGATTTAAAGAAATATTTATGGAATTTGATAACATCAGTAATTTATTAAACAGAATGGTATACGTGTTGCCTAGTTTGTTTAAAAGAAGGCAAGAAACTAAAGGAATATAATGTCCATTGCGCAACCCATGAATAGTAAATAGTTGAAAAAAGAATTTTGTACAATATCTAAATGTTCCATCCATGTAAATGTGTCACACTGCGATAAACATTTCATATTAGATGTACAACCAAAAATTACAATATTAGTTTCAATATCAATAAGTTTAAAAATGCTTCTACAACTAAACTAGTATACTTCCATTACATAAGAAGCAAATTAGAGTATGGATGCCTAATCTGGAATCCTTATTATGAGGCTCATATTCAACATTTAGAAAAAGTGCAGCGTAAATTTGTCAAATATATGGCTTTTAAAATGGATGGAGTGTATCCTACCCGTGGATTCGATCACACTCGGTTACTTCAAAGGTTCAACTTGCCAACTTGCAAGGATAGACGAGTTTATATATCTCTAATTTTTTTTGTACAAGTTGGTTAATGGTATGATTGATTGTTCTGATTTATTATACCAACTAAATTTTTATGTTCCCTTAAATACCAGATCCAAAAATCTGTTCTACCTACCCTCAGTAAGTACTAATACCATGCTAAAATCACCTTTACATATCATGTGCAGGGAACTAAACAAAATTAGTCCACATATTGATATATTCAATCAAACTTTATGTAGTTTTAGTAGGTCAGTGAAAAATATCTTATTTAATCAATAACAAACTTGGCGGGCTGTATCCTGTATCCTATCAAATGTTCATTTATTTGTAAACTAATATTTTTTTTAATTACTTTGTATATTTTCTTACTATTCTTATCTGAATTGTCTTATTAATAGATGTAATTCTGTTAGACAATAAAGCTTATTATTAATATCATTGGCCAATAAAAATGGTTCGTTTCTATCTGTTGTTAAATCCATAACATTCAGAGCTTCTTGGACATCATATATATCTTTTGATGTAGCTGACTTGTTGGTGTTCAATCGATTGCGATTCATATTATGCCGTATGAAGTCCAGATCCATAGTTGTTATATTTTCCTTATACGAAGACGTCGAAATCTCCATATTCATTATTTTTGATGGTTGTTGGCAAATGTCATGAACGGCCTTCCTTTTGCAACTATTACTTATAGCCTGTCGACTTAGCTTTTGCAAGTTGGCTTGATGGTTGTGTTCCAAGGAATGATCCAGGACGTTTAAATCTGAAAAGACTTTAGATTATTGATTTGACCATTCAAAAAAGGTTTCAATTCAAATTCAAAAAGTTGGCATTAACTTTTGGTATGCGGACGCTATTCAAATATACAGTAAAAGACTCTGTTCTTAAGATCATTGATGTATCAAGAACGGATTCAAAATTTTTCTATTTGTCAAAATATCCACTGTACATTTCTTAGTAATAAACAACCAATATAATCCACTTTCTTTAATAAATATAATGAAAATAATTAAACTTACTTCGAGTATGACATTTTGCTTTACAGCCCTTTACAGAACACACCCAATTTATTAATCCATCTTTCAGGTCTTTACGTTTTCTAAATTTATTATCATGTAGAAGAAGCATTTGTTGGCCACGTTCACTTAAAACAAAATCAGTTACTAACTCCATAGGTAATATTTTTTTATCCGAACGCTAAAAGGTTTAGATAAAAACTGGTATGAGCCAATTGAGCTATTAAGGCATACGTAGAACAGACTTAATTGTACGGATGTGCCGTATAAATAAGTCACCCCAATAGTCACCCCTTATACCCAAGTAAGATAAAGTTGTTTTGATTTGTTTTGTAAATTGAATGTGTTACAATTGGCAAATATGAAAATAAGTACCTATCTCTAATTTAAATTGAATGTAAAACTGCTTATGATTTTAAAACCAAATCATATTGGTTTTGGTTTTGAAAATTGTATTTTGACAAAGGTAATTAAGAATGTGTTACAATTGGCAAATTTGAAAATAAGTACCTATCTCTAATTTAAATTGGATATAAAAGCTTATGATTTTAAAACCAAATCATAATATGTAAAAGCTTTTAACGGATTAATATGAATGTTTTGCATTTCGAGGTCTGAAAATTTGGTACCACAATATTGCAAAAATTATGCAAAAATTTGTATTCAACAGAATAATAACATTCCGTTTGCCCGCCAATTATTTTTGTTACCTACCAATATAAAATGAAGAAACATTACTCACAAAAATTTAATTTTATATGGGCAATTTTAATTTTTTTTTTACTTATTTCTGTTTTTAAACATTATGTGTTATTTTTTAAATTATTCTCATGAGTAGATTATTAACTTATTTATTTTTATTATTTTAGGTTTTGATAACGACTTTGTAGCTGAAACTGATCTCATCATTTTTTCTTGACCTATTGTTGAGTGCATATTCCATTTATAATAATATACTTCATTACGTAATAAAAAGGGATCAAAGTATCTAGGGTTTTCCCAATAAAAATTGGTTTTAAGCTTTTAATGAGTTTCTTTAAATTAGAATATTAAGGGATTATTATTACAAAGTGCTAAATTGGCCTGTCTCAAAAGGGTCGCTTTGAAAAGGTACCTGCCTGCCTGGCGCTCAGTTGGCCGGTCTACATTTATTACATCTAGAGCTTGGTGCTCAATTGGCTCATGCCCCTAACCATTACTTAGTGTCTCTGTTCTGTTTAATTTCATAGAAATTCCAATTATTTCATTGACATTCAAGGTTTGATATGACATTTTTGAAGTCTTCTTGTTCAGTATTAATTTTAAACTGGTTATTGCTTAGAGCCGTGACTTGAAAGGAAATATTATTTTCTACCAGGGTATGGCGCAATTCTTGTTGCTTGCTATTATCGGGGGAAATTTAATTGTTTGTTCGACTGTTTCTTTCTCTTGTTGTTGATTTTTGCTAACTCCAGGTTGGCCAAGAGAGGTTTCTGGAGAGGAATTGGCTTTTCGTTTTTTTTTTCTTCTATTGTTTCTTCTTTCTGCTGTTATCCATTCTACTTATTTGTTAAATTGAATGCCGATTTCTTTTGCCAGTTCTTCTTCATCAGTTTCATATTTCGTTTTTGCATATTTTCCATATTGTTTTGCATTTGTTGCAATGCACTTTCTAGTTGCTGTTTTTCAGCTTTTTCTTGTATCCAAGCATTGTACAATGTCTGTTCTGACTTCTAGCTTGATTTTCATGAAATAAGGCCTGATATTGTTGGGCTGGGAGATTTTCTCCCACTTCCATTGTTTCCATATTAATTGTTTGAGTTACCTGTTTTTTTTGCTCCAAAAGAACTTTGGCAGGTGTCGATTCTGGTTTATTATTTTTTTCTACAAATTGTTTACTATATTTAATGGCACATTATTATTTTTATTTTTGTTCTTAAACATTACGTTTAGCAATCGTTGTTGATTTTTTAAACAGTCACAATTAAAAAATATTTACACTACATACACAAACGAAACTGACCTAGTTACGAAGTAATGTTAATAAACATACATCCTTACCTATCGACAGCCGAATATAAACAAGACTAAAGAGTAACTAAAGCAACCGAAAACACATACGTGTTGGTAAATCGTTCATTGTATGGTTAGATTAGACGTAGACTAGCATGTTCTCTATTAATCGAATATTTTTTTATTTAAGGCCAAACATGGAAAATCGTATGAAAATCTCTATGAAGAAAAAGTCCGTTTCCAAATTTTCCAGAACAACGTGCAAGTAATCAACGCACACAACGCCCGCTATGAAGCCGGACTTGAAACTTACACCATGGGAGTCAACAAGTTCACCGATTTGACCCCCAAAGAATTCCGAGCCATGCTGAGACTCCAAAACGGCCCACTTACTTGGCAAAACTTGACACGTCATGTCCAAAATGGGACAGCTCCAGACTCTATCGACTGGAGAGAGAAGAACGCTGTATTGGAAGTCCAGGACCAAAACGGATGTGGATCGTGCTGGGCTTTCAGTGCAGTAAGTGTATTTTTTATTAAAATAATATACATACAGTAGATCTGTTTTATAAAATCGCTGTTGTACATTTTAACAGTTTTGTTAAATATGAAACGAATAAATCGAAGTAAGAAATTCCCTTTCATTTTCATTCAAACAGTTCGTTTTAAAAATAATATTAAGTTAACCTAAGAGGCTTAAAACTAAGAGTTGACCAATTGGTATCTTCTCCTTTCTGTTCTGATTACTTTACACTGCACACGCGCACTGTGCTCTGCTTTAACACACTTTTATATCACTAATTTTTGGTCCTTCCGAGCCTTCTCATTAGTTATCGGTTGTTCAGGTATACCATTATGTTTTTTGTGGCCTTATTTACTACTTCCTTCTCATGTGTGTTCCAGAGAAGTTTGTTGTCCAGGGTTAGGCCTCGATATTTGACTTTATTTTTCCATTCTATATCTAACCGTCTAATTTAACAGTTTTAAGATTAAGTTTTCTTTTCCTTGAAAAGGCTGCTAGTGTTTTTTGTGTAGGGTTTACACTAAATCTTACTTCACGGCACCGTCTTTTGGTATATTTCTAGTCCTCGTTGGACTATATCACCCAGGATATTTCTAAACTTGCCTCTAGCAAATATAACTATGTCGTCGGCATAACCTTGACATGATATTATCGATATGATATTATCTACTGCTATGGGAATGCCTTCAGATGAAATGCTTCAAAAGTATAGCTTTCAAAAGCAATATAAAGTAAGTATACCAGACAGGGAATCGTGGACGGGAGGAGCTCCTATTCATGCAGATCTCACCTGGTATACAGACGGCTCCAAAACCCATGAAGGTTCAGGAGTAGGTATATATAGTACCAAGCCAAAGGCAGGAATCTCACTGAGCTTAGGTAAACATGCGACAGTATTTCAGGCAGAAATAACAGCAATACATCACTGCGCAAAAGAAGTATTAAGACAGAAGGTAAATGGAAAAACCATTGTCATAAACTCAGACAGTCAAGCGACGTTAAAAGAACTCAGTTCCATGCAGGTACACTCAAAGCTTGTGTGGGACTGTTTGGAAGCCCTAACAGAGCTTGGTAGTCAAAACAGACTAACCTTAGCCTGGGTACCTGGCCACAGGGGACACAAGGGCAATGAAGAGGCTGATTTACTAGCCGAAAAAGGAGCCTCAAATACCCTTATTGGCCCAGAACCCTTCTGTGGTGTAACAAAAACAACTATCAGAACATGCACAAAGCAGTGGATGTTTAAAAAATCTCAGGAGTGGTGGAAAAACTCACCAGGACAGAGACAGGCCAAAAAGTTCTTAAAAGGACCATCGTCTAAACTAAATACTAGTAGGTCTATTAACAGGGCATTGTAGGCTTAACAAACATATGTTCAATATCGGTCTGACAGAAGAGGCCTTGTGCCGATTCTGTCAAGAAGAAGAGGAAACGGCAGAACACGTATTGTGCTACTGCGAAGGTATAGTAAGACTGAGATTCCTTACACTTGGAGAAGAAAAACCAAGGGCAACTAGCTATACCGGAGAACTACTTCCCAGTCTATGGAGTCTACTACAAAAGACCGAATTAGACAAGGCATTCTAAACAATGATTAAAGGATATCCACAATAGATCTGAAAAGGTCGAGGTGGGGGAGGCCACATGGCCCATAGTCCTAATTAAATCTTAATCTTAAAAATCTTAATCTACTCCTCTATTTGCAAGTGCTCTTTTGACAGATTCGTGTGACGTGTTGTCAAAAGCTTCTTCTACGTCTAGGAAGGCACACCCGACCGTTTCTTTGTTTGTTAGTGCATCCTGGATTATGTTAGTCAACTGTACCAGGCTAGTTTTTATAGATCTTCCTGATAGGTACGCGTGTTGGGTGTGGTGGAGTGGCACCCTCTTTAGGACTTCCGTTCTGAGATATTTATCAACAGCCTTCTCTATTTTGGAATAAAGGTGACTTTGGCCCTTCTCCATGCTTCTGGTATATATTCCAGCTTCAGACTGCTTCGGGTAGTCGGATAATGTGTGGTAGTAATTCCTCATGTGCCCCCTGAAGCAGGGCAGGAAATATTCCATCTACACTTGGAGACTTAAATGGTTTAAATGTGTTTAGGGAACACTTTAACCGATTTCTGCTGCATATGTGTTTGGTCGCTACAGCAGCCTCTCTTGGGAGCCTGCTTACCTTAGTTGTGTCCCTTATTAGAAAAAGTGTGCTTCCAAGAAAGTGAGTTTAGATAAGAGGCGAGCTCTTTTCTCCTCACTCTTCGTGAAGCTTTCATTTGGTTTATTTAATGCTATAACTGTATTAACTCTCCATTTTGCCAGGGCCCTGTGCAGTCTCGCTGCCGCAGGTGTAAAGTTAATATCCTCGCAGAACTTTCTGCAGCTGTTACGTTTAGCTTTTCTGATTTCTTTGTTGTAGGTAGTAAGTGCCTCGGTGTAGCTCTGCCAATCTCTGCTCTCGTATGTTTGACAGATGACGGTTCTACCAAGGAACATCCCTACTAGTTCTATTTCTTTGAATGGGGCAGCTTGATTTATATGCCTCAAGTATTGCCCCATTAAGTTCTTTGAGATCGCTTTCCAGAACAAGTGGGTGCCTGGGCCCCTTTTTTGTCTGGATACGTGCTAAGTTTTGTTTTAGAATGGTGTTGTATTTGTCCCAGTCTGTTTTTCTAGGATTCCTCCTGAGGATTGTCTCAGAAATGTCGCTCTCTAACGTAAACACAATTATCTTGTGATCAGATAGAGATAGTTCACTCGATACTCTCCAGTTTGTTAGTAGATCTTTAATGCTCGGTATGCTTAATGTGATATCTAATACGTCATTTCTTGTCCTTGTTGGAGTATTCCCAACATTTGCACAATAAGGTTCTTATTATAATTTACTAGCTGACCCGGCAAACGTTGTTTTGCCATGTAAATAATTTCTAGAGAATAATTTCTAGAGAATAATTTCTAGAGAATAATTTCTAGAGAATAATTTCTAGAGAATAATTTCTAGAGAATAATTTCTAGAGAATAATTTCTAGAGAATAATTTCTAGAGAATAATTTCTAGAGAATAATTTCTAGAGAATAATTTCTAGAGAATAATTTCTAGAAAATAATTTCTAGAGACTTCTAGATTTATTTGTACCACGGCTCAAATTGACCCCTTTGCGTTTTGTTGGTATTGTTCACTGTAGAATACAAAACACACATAAATAAAACTTATTGATTTATTTAATGATGAAAATTATTATATTAATAATTTATTTTATCTTTGATTTCATTAAATATACATGTAAAAATGAGATAGTTTCACGAAAGCGAAAAATTTTATTTTTCTTAATTATATCGAAAATACATATTGTTAGAAATAGTGAAAAAAAAAAAATCTGTAGAAGTTAGAGCTCTTATAAGTTAACACAAAAAAATCCCAATTGTAATAAAAATCTAACTTTCACCGAATTCGTTTTTCACCATTACCAACAATATTTTCGTTATAAATAAGAAAGAATACCTAAATAAAAATAATTTATACTTACAACTCAATAGCCGTTGTTTGCGGGAACTCGTGACACGTGTTGAGTATTTTAGAGGTTATGTAGGTAAATCACTTAATTAACTGATCGTGCAAATTAAACTAAAAATAAATAATTTTATTAGTTATTAATAATTTATTATATTCAATAATATTAGTTATTAATAAATAAATAATAAAGTTACTTGAGAATATATTTGATATGAGAGTTACACTGAGATAGTAAAAATGTTTAACTACTACGCTTGATGCATAAACACTAATAATAGCCGAAAACTGTAGAGAGAGTGAGAGAAGGCTTATTGTTTGAGAGAAATAGAAGACCATCTTCGTTGTCATCCCTACGCCGTGCTGTTTACTGGGTGAAAAGTGACACCGGTAGACACATGGAGGGGATAACTTACCAAGTGATAATAATTGATGTTATCGAGCGGGATAAAAAATAATAAAATTATTAAAATGACTATTAAAAAGCAGAGGTTGGTGATAGAAGAGTGAACATTTTAGGGTTGTATGTATTTTTTAATGCCACATAATAAAAAAATTAAAAAAAAATTATCCAAAAAAAAATTGGGTATCAGTTAGGGGTTTGAAAGATAGATAGTAGCGGATTATTAGACTTACTAAATATGCATAAAAAATTTCATAAGAATCGGTCGAGCCGAGTATGGGAACAAACATTGTGACAAGAGAATTTTATATATTAAAGATTAGTAAGTTTAACCACAGCTTTTCTTGGCAATTGTTTTAGTATTTCACCTATAATCAGATCATACTCGGGTGCTTTCTTAAAATTGATATTTTCTTTGCTTTAGGCATTACCATAGGAATTTCACCAATGTTTGTGTTCTCTTGTTTTACATTCGGTTGAAATTTTTTTTTGAGATGATCTGCAAAGATGTAAGCTTTTTGTTAAGTTGATCTTGCCCAGTTTCCATTGCCTTCTTTTATTGGTGTGGTATATGGACTATTGAACTATTAAGTTTCCTAGTCACTTTCCACATAGAGTAATTAGTATTTTTATTGTTCGTCAATTTTTTGAGATTTGTGTCTGTTGATTCAATTTTAATAGTGACTATTTTTCGTTTTAGTTGTTGTAAGTCTGTTGAGAACTACTTTATGTTCAGAGAATCTGGTGATTTGCCACTTTTTCTTGCCTTTTTCTTCTTATTTATTAGTTCTTTTATTTCTCTAGAATATCTATTGCTTACGTGTTTCTTGTAATTTCTGGTGTATTGTTTCATGATGATTGCTTTTTGTCAATGACAAATGTTTACAGCTCGTACTCTAGTTGTTGTTTTGTTTTTAGTAGTGCACTTAGTTCGATTCTTTAACTTAATTCAGTTTTAAAACTTACCCAGTCTGTCTTTTTATTACACAATGTGGTTCTAATTTCTTTTTGGATTGTGTTTTCGCTTAGTATCATTATCACCGGGGAATGATCTAAGTATAAATCAAAATGTTCTTCTATTTTAATAAAGTTTCCGGGTATTTTTCTAGTGATGTGGAAGTCCAGGTATTTTATTTCTGTCGGTTGGCCAATGGGTTGGTTTTCCTGTTGACTGGTAGTCACACCCAATTTTACTTGCAGCTGCATGCAATTGCTTACCTTTGGTAGTTGTTAATCTCAAGCTCTAGATGATATTTTTGACATTAAAATCACCTTCCAAAATAAAATTTTCTCCCATTAAGAGTACTTTGTAATTTTTTTTTAATTTTGTCGTGGTGGCATATATTCTGCTTAGACTGCAAAACTGTATTTATTCATTTTTATGTTAACTGCGGTTAGCTGGATTTCTTCTGTTTAATATGGTAGCTACAAAATTGTGTTGCTTGCTTATTAGTTTTTGTCTTAAATCTTCAAAGTTTTTGACCTGAGTTACTCTTATTGGTGGTGATAATTTTTGTTTCGGTTGTTCTTTTTGTGCAATACTTTGTTGAGCGTTTTCATTTAAGTGGTTTAATTTTGCTTCTTTTTGAACGTTGTATTGTTCTTTGGTTGTGTTTTGAGGTGACACTTCAGAAGATTCTCGCATTTTTTGGTTTTTGCTGTTTTCTTTGGTTCTTCTGTATCAAGGCTTTAGCAATCATTGTTTATATAGAAGATATGAGTACTAAGTACTAAAACTACCGGAGACAAACAAGTGCATCCATATTTTAATTAATAACAGCTATAAGATTAAATTTAAATCGACACATGCAACAAAGACTATAGTAACTCATTATTTCTAGTTTTGAGAAAATCTAAGATAATATAGTATTCGTAGTATGTTATGGTCTAAAATGATTTACTATATTTTATGGTTGTATTTCTGGTTGCTTAACCGCTTCGTTTAGACGTATGATACTTATTTAGGTCAAAGCTTTTGGAAAATATATGCGCTGGATAACGTTAACTCAAAAACTTTCAAAAATGAGTTACTATAGTCTTCGTTGCATGGGTCGAAATGCTACAATTTTAACGACACAGAAGTTTAATTTTAATTTTTTTGTTACATACTTAATATTGTTTTTTATTATCAATTTATACTTTGTATTCAATTTCAGGTTGGAGCCTTAGAAGGACAAAACGCTATTAAAAACAACAAAAGAGTGCTTCTCAGTAAACAGCAATTGATTGACTGTGATAAAAGTGAGAATGGTTGCAATGGTGGTTTGATGTTAAACGCTTTTGAATACGTTAAGCAGCATGGTCTTAACAGCGAAGCTGATTATCCATACGATGGTTTCGACCTCAAATGCAGAGCCAAGAGCGATTCTGCCGTTACAGTTAAGGAAGTCGTAGCTCTTGATGCTACCGAATCTGCCCTTGAAGAGGCTGTTGGTAAGTACGAACGCAGCTAGCACAAAAACATCCCATCTACGTTAATAAGCTGCAATTTTAGGCTCTTTAAGCTCGCATGCAATGTACTTTTACTGTAACCCTATTATCCCTGCAACCACCGAATTTCCGCAACGGCAAGACTTTTATAGCACATCTCACAGAGGTTACAAAATTGAAGTTCGGAAAACATCACACTAGCACTTTTACGGTACTTACCCCGAAAGTTGCTCTGAAACTTTCTATAGATGTTATAATGTGAATTCATTCTACAGCATTATACAGTCCACGGATGGATTTAACAATACTTGTAAAAATATTTATTTTAAATTTAAAAGTACTTCTTCATAATTTCTTTTGCTTGTTAAATAAATACGATTAACGTTGAGAAATTATGAAAAAGACATCTTGAAAAATTTAAAATAAATATCTTTACAAGTATAGTTATGTCCATCCTTGGATACACTATATTCAAAATAGTATATTGAGGATATAGTAAAATCTAAAGAAAACAAAATAAAAAATTGTATAAATTTATTATTAAAAAGCTTTTGAAATCAAGAACTAATATCATACAAGTAGAGGTAGGTATTAATAATATAGGTAAAAAACACTGACAAATTGGACAAAAGTAGGTATAAAGGGTATATAAGGAATATCTCAAAGGTTCACTAGAATCGAAAACACTGAACGCTTGCACAAAAGAGTATAATAAGGTACCTATATTGCAAAGGTTCACTGGTAGCTAAAATAGTGCACGATAGTACAAAAGTAGTAAAAAGTGTATTTATATAAGGTATATTTCAAAGGTCACTAGATTTTTATTAAGATGGCAGTTGTAGGATGCTAAAAAAAGATATTTGCCTACAACTGGTACTAATCATAGTTTTAATATGATATAACTTTCTTAAACTGAATATTGATAAATGTAAAGTCATAAGGTTTAATAAAACAGCTAATATCATTATGCATGATTGTCATTGCAGGTTCTGAACTAAGTTTTGAGCAAACTATAAATGATCTTGATGTTATTTTTGAGACGGACCTATAAGAGTTTGGAATGCAGATGTCGAGAAGCATAATTTGTTTTCCTGTATAAGTTATTGAACGGTTTGATTGATAGTGACAGCCTGGTACACTTTATTAGATTCCTTGTTCCTGCCAGACTTACTAGGCATATGAAACTATTTTATGTAAATGCTCATAGAACTAACTATGGACAGAATTTATTTGTAGACCAACTGATGTCCAATTACAATAAGTATTTTTCAAATTATGACATTTTAAAAGGTTTATTTTTTTAAAGTGTCAACTTTTATTACACTATTGACTTCATTTTTATACTGTGACAATTTTATTAATTTCTTTTTTATTTTATTTTGATATTTTAACCATTTAGAACTTTATGTATCCGTAGCGTACTGTAAAAAAATAAATATGTGAACTTAATTACATAGTTTCTTCCGTAAAAATAACTTTGTAGATAATAAATTTGCTTGTTTATTTATTAGAGAGTTATTGCTAGTTCACTAGAGGTCAGTCACTATTAGTGCACTAATAGTGACTGACCCTAAGTGAACTTGCAATAACTCTCTTTTAAGGACAGGCACAATCTTTGTTAAAGTTAGTGATCTACGCATGCTCAGATGTCAAAATAAGAGCGGCACTAATAGTGACTGACCTTAAGTGAACTTGCAATAACTCTCTATTATTAAGAAAATAATATTACCAAGTTTCACCACATGCAAAAACTAAAATATTTCAGTACAAATATATGAACAAACCTTATAATCTCTGACCACACACATAGAGATACAATACTTACTTCTAAGTATCACTATGGCGATAGTGTTGGTAATTCAGTATCAGTGCCTTTCATTGTTTAATATCGTTACTTCTATTGTATTAAGGCATCAATAAGATCCCTATTATCGTGTAAAATAAATATAAGCAGTCATTTAATTGTATCTACTTGTTTACAATGATTTATTTTTTATTGTATTTGGAAATTGAAATTTACACTATGAAAATTATTTAAAATAACAGTACGGCATTAAAAGTCAATACAAATCGTTAAAACGTTATAAAAATTTATTTCTCTCCTCCCTTCCGTCTCTCGCCATTTCAACTGTCTGCAACACTACAACAGTTCTCAGTTTTCACAGCAGGAAAGTAGATTTCTTGTGATGAGATTTTTAAAAGTACATATTGTCTAGGGAGCATTTTTTCAGCATGCCAAACCTTGTCAAATGCTTGGGCTACGTCAAGAAATATTTTTTTTTCTCCTGGGCTCGTCTGACTATGTGTCTCCGAATAACACTGAAGCCTATTGGCTTATTGTGTTTTACCCCATGTTAGTTCATAGCACCCACTCTATCACCTTTGTACCTTGTACAAGTTTGTACAGATCCTTGGGTGAGTGGGTTCTATACGTTGTTGGATCAACCTGGGGTTGTCCAAAAAGAGCCTGTCTTTTGCGATCTAGAGCTTCACATTCGCACAGTATGTGTTTGGCCGTTTCTGGTTTCTTGTGACATAGTCGACACATGAGTTCCCCATTGTACATGCCAATTTTGTTCAAGTGTCCCTTTACTGGGGCGTGCCCAGTCATGAACCCTGTTATCACTTTCAACTGGTTCCTATTCATTAAGAGTAGTTATCTAGTTCTTTTGGGACATGGTCTGCCTATGAAGGCTTTTCCATGTGCCTGTTTTGGGGTGCTTCCCCAATAGTTGATATATTGTTCCCGAATCCAGTCATTTATAAAACCCCGGACTGTACTTTTTGGTACTCCGGGGTTTGTGTCTGGTTCCGGTGTTTCTTCTGACCCTATTTTTGCAAGTTTGTCAGCCTTTTCGTTGCCTTCGATCCCTTTGTGACCTGGCACCCAAAATAGTTTTACTCTATTACGGTCTTCCAGTGTTCTCAGTTCTTCGATGCATTCCCATACCAGCCTCGACGTAACTTTCTGACTCGATATGGCCTTAAGTGCCGCTTGGCCGTCTGACATTATTTGAATATGCTGATTTTCGACAGCTTTTTCATTGTTCGTTTTTGCACATTGCAAAATTGCGTATACTTCGCCCTGAAATATCGAGGAATGTATTCCTATAGCATAGCTATGGTTAGTATCAGGGTTTTTGGAGAATACTCCTGCCCCAGTGCCTTCCGCAGTCTTAGACCCGTCTGTATACCAGGTTTGTTCCTGTCGTTGGGCATTGGGCTCCCTTATGGTGATTTCCGCTCTTTCCTGTATTAAAACCTCAAAGGGAGTATTAAAAGAGTACCTCTTGGTTAAGTGGTCTGATCTCATGTCTAGCACGTCTCCTGTCACTAACCTTGAGATACTCATGTGACCTGGTCTAATGTCAAGATTTCCCAGTGTATTCCCTAATCTGTAAGCACCTAATCTTGCCTCCCCTTGTATCACATAGTGAAGAGGTGGGAGTCCTATTAGTGCTTCCATTGCAGCAGTGGGAGTTGTTTTCATTGCCCCCGTTATTCCGAGGCAGGCAAGCCTCGTTATTGCTTTCCTTTGCTGTGTCTTTGGCCACCACACCAAAGCTGCGTATGTTATTATGGGTCTCACCACCATGTTATAAAGCCAATATACCATGTCTGGTTTTAACCCCCATTTTTATCCAAAGGATCGCCTTGCCATCATTAATGAGGTTTCCGCTCTCCTTGTGGTTCTTTCTAGATGCTGGTTCCAGGTAAGTCTCGAGTCAATCATAACCCCGAGATATTTTACCTCCCCCTTAAGCTGGATGCTTGCACCTCTTAGGTTTAGAGGCCCTAGTCCCTCCAATTTCCTCCTGCGGGTGAATGCAATTATGTCAGATTTGTTTGGGCTAATGTTTAGTCCTTCAGCTTCTGTCCATTTTGTTACTATATTTAGAGCCTCTTGCATTCGATCTCTTACTATAGTGTTGTATTTTCCCTGTGCCATGATCAATAGATCATCGGCATATCCCAGGGTTCTATGTCCCTTATCTTTGAGAGCCCTAAGCTGCCCGTCCACTACAAGGTTCCACAGGAGTGGAGACAGCACTCCACCCTGTGGACATCCTCTCGCTACCCGTGCCGCTGTTGTCTCTCCCATAAGGGTTGTGTGTATAGTTCTCTCCCTTAACATAGAGTCGATCCAGGACACGCATGTGTTCTCGATTCCTCTGTGTTTGAGAGATCTAATGATCGATTCAACGGAGGTATTGTCGAATGCACCCTTGATATCCAAGAATGCTCCCAGCATTACCTCCTTGTTTTCCAGTGTGTTCTCCACCCTTTTTATTAGTTGATGGAGAGCTGTTTCAGTTGATTTCCCTGCACTATAGGCGTATTGGTCTTGGTATATTGGCCTTTGAACCAATATCCCGTCTCTAATATGCCTATCTAGCAGTTTTTCCAAAGTCTTAAGTACGAAGGACATAAGACTTATTGGTCTTAGGGACTTTGCCGTTTCCTGTCCCATTTTCCCAGGTTTTGGTATAAAAGTTACCCTAATATTTCTCCAAGCTTTTGGTATGTGTCCAAAGGCCAGGCTACTTCTGAGTATGTTACAGAATCTGCTGTATAAAATATCAGGACCTCTTAGTAACATTATTGGATAAATCTCGTCCATGCCCGGTAATTTATATGGTTCGAATGAGCTAATTGCCCATTTCAGTTTATCATAGTTCACCACTTGTTTGGCTATCCTCCAATCTTCCCTGTTGGCTCTAATATGAGCTTCCAGTCCGTTTAGATTCCGGTTAGCCGGTGTGTGTGTGCTATGGTTTGTGCACCAGGGAAGTGAACCCTGAAGAGTTCCCTTACTGTTTCCTTCCCTGTGATTGTGTACTCCCCAAGTTCATTCTTAAGGGTGTTTATTGTGTGTTGTGTGTCTTTTGAGAGAATTTTTTGGAGCCAAGCATATTCTTGAGTGCTTGCTATCTCCTCACAGTGTCTTCTCCAAGACTCTCTCTTGACTTTTAGTAAAGCTATGTTGTAACAGGTGCGTATGGTTCTATATAGTTCCCATTCG